GTGTCCATACAACTTTGTATCATTGTGTGTGTTGGGGCGGTGGGGAGTGCTGAGAATCTGTGATTATGTTGCTATGGCTGTGTTATCTGAGGGCTGCGTGTGATTGTGGTTTTATGAATGTTAGCAGTACTAAGTGTACTGATGTCTGACTGTGTGAGGATGTGTGAGTGTGATCATGTAACTTTTTGTGGCACTGAGTGTGCGGTTGGAGGGTGCCTGTAATTGTGCCAGGCTAACAGTGTGTATGTCCCAGTGGTTGATGTGTTAGGTCAGGACAGATTTTAGTCGTGGGCCACAGACTTTTCCCCTTCTGAAACCAGGAATGCTCAGGACAGCCTAGACTCCTCTGACCTTTCTCCATCTTTCCTCTCCATGGGTGGCAGGTGTGGGTCCAGGGTAACCTCTGATCTGATCAGTCTGAGCCACAAGAAGGGCCTGGCATTTCATGATTCCTTTCTCCTTCCTCAGCTCTGCTTTTCTCAGAGAGGTCCCCAGAGGAGAAGGAGGAATGGCTGTTGACCAAGCCAAATACAAGGTGCTCTGGGGTTTCCTTTTCGCTTTATAAGTACCCTGGTGCACCTATGCACGCTTTCCTAGGGTATAAACATACCAATGGAATTGCTGGGCCATAAGATACGTGTGTATTTTCAAATTTCCTAGATAATGCCGGACTGATTTTCAATATGGTTGTACCAGTTAAATTCTTACCAGCAGATTATAAGCATAGTCATCCTGTATTCTAATACTTGGTCACTTGGTATTTTAATTTTTGATGACTCTTCTCATATATCACGTGGTTTTAAAAGTGTAACATACGTTCCAAAAAGTACAGAAATGAAAGTATATGACTTGATGAATTTTAGAAAATGAGCATATTTGCTTATCCAGAGCTCAAATCAGATCAGGAAGTAGAACATTACCAGCATTCTAGAAGCCCGATTCTTGTTCCATCCACTCACTATCCACCTCTCCCGAAGATAACAATTATTCTGTTTTCTATAGCCATAGATTAATTTTACCTGTTCTTGAATTTTATATAAGTAGAATCACACAATATCCACTCTTTTGTGCTTGACTTCTTTTTATTCATCATTACATTTTACATGAATATGAATGTACTACTTAATAATATTATGCAGTATGAATATGTGAGACTCATCCATGTTGCTTCATGTAGTATAGGTCATTTATTATTGTTGTTGCTTAAAATTCCATTGTATGAACATACCACAATTTATTATCCTTTCCATTATCTATTGGTATTTAAGCTGTTTTCAGATTGGACCTATTATGAGCAAGGCTGCTATGAACATTCTTGCACATGTCTTTTGGTGCACATATGAATGCATTTCTGTTGGGTATATCCCTAGGAGTGAAATTTCTGTGGCATAGGTTATGCAAATATTCAGCTTTAATACATACTGACAGTTTTTCTAAATAGTTGTATCAATTTACACTCCTGACTCACTCTCATTGTACGGGAATTAGACTGTGGGACAAGAAGTTTTACTAGAGATAAAGAACAATAGTTCATAATAAAAAGGTTAGACTACTAGTAAGATATTACAGTTCTAAATACATAGACCTTCATAAGATGACTTCAGGTATATTTGACAGAAGTAGTAGACAAATCACAATCATAGTGGGGGATTTTTAGCACTTGTTTCAATAGCTGGTAGAACAATCAATAGAAACTGAGTAAAGCTATATAATATTTGGGCAGTGTGATTGACAAACTTGACTTAAATGATATATGTAGAACAGTGTACCTTACAACTACAGTATATATCCTTTTCAGATGCATATGAGACATTTATCCAGATTGATCATGTGCTGGACCGTAAAAGGAATCTCAGTAACTTTCAAAGGATTGAAATAATACTGTATGTTTTCTGTCCACAGTGGAATTCAGCAGAAGTCAATAACAGAATGATATTTAGAAATATCCCAATGTTTGGGATTTAAGCAATTGTATTTATAAATAACTGGTGAATCAAAGAAGAAATTGCAATGGAAATTAAAAATATTTTGAACTGAAAGATAATGAAAATATAGCATCAAAATGTGGGGTGTTGCTAAAGCTAAACCTAAAGAAAATATATAGCTGTAAATGCATACTCTAGTAAAGAAGAATGTTGAAAAATTAATGATCTATGTTTTCATCTCAAGAAGTTAAGGAAATAAAACTGAATACTAAATTAAACCCAAAGAAAGCAAAAAAAAATAGGAAATAATAAGAATAAGAGCTCAATATAAATTTATGTATATTGAAATATAAAGTAAATATATAATTGAGAAAATTAATAACTCCAAAAGTTTATTTTGGGGAATCAATAAAAATTGATAAACCTCTATAAAAACTTAAAGAAAAAAGGGGAGATAAGACACAAATTACCAAATTAGATATGAGGAAAAAAAACCACTACAGGATAGATTTAAAGCTGAGCTCCCAGTTTTTGGTCAGTACCTGGGACTAGGTTGTACAGTATAAGAGTGTTAGAACCTGAGCTGGTGATCATTAAGCTGAGTACCTTTTCAACTTCATCAGACATGTTGATTTCTGTTTTTAGTATAGATTTTTAATTTTGTAACAGTTTCTTTTTTTAAAATTAATTAATTATTTATTTTTGTCTGCATTGGCTCTTCGTTGCTGCACACAGGCTTTTCTCTAGTTGTGGCAAGTGGGGCTACTCTTTGTTGCTGTGTGCGGGCTTCTCATTGCAGTGGCTTCTCTTGTTGTAGATCATGGGCTCTAGGTGCACAGGCTTCAGTAATTGTGATGCGTGGGCTCAGTAGTTGTGGCTTGTGGGCTCAGTTGCTCCGTGGCATGTGGGATCTTCCCGGACCAGGGATCGAACCTGTGTCCTCTGCATTGGCAGGTGAATTCTTAACTACTGTTCCACCAGAGAAGTCCTGGAATTGACTCTTAATGGTTTTTCTTTTAGGGGAGATGAAAATGTTCTAAAATTGGATTGTGGTGATATACTAAAAAACATTGAATTATATACTTAAAATGAGTAACTTACATGGTGTGTGAGGTATATCTCAATAAAAATTAGTGGATTCGAATCTAGATGAAACAGTATTGTCTGTGACTTTATAATTGTTGAAGCCAGTTAGTGGGTACATGTAAGGTTTTTTATACTATTTAAATTCTACTTTTATGTATGTTTGGAAATTTCTGTATTATAAAGTTAAAACAAAAAACTAACCTAATGCCTAATAGTGAAATATTAGAAGCCTTCATAGTAAAATCAGGCAGAAGGCACTATCAACAGTATTATTTAACATTTTTTTCCCTAAATCTATTAGAAAAGCAGTACTCCATAGGAAACAACTAGAAAACAATTGCTTTGTTCTTTCCCATAACTTCTACTGTCAAGCTTCTCTGTGGGCCATTTGATTTCTTGCCCATGGATAAGGTTTTCAGTCAGTGTTAGTTAATAAACAGTGTCCATTTCACTGAACTAATCAATACCATAAACTTTAAAGAAAAAGTTTAACCTTCTGACTCCTTGAGCTAGGAGTTTGCAGTGAGATAGCTTTGATGATTGCTTCTCTTTCCTTTTCCTGAACTTTTTCTCCATCCCACTAGGTATTCTCAACTCCATATGGTAAGAGTATGTTTGATTTTGTACGAAGCTGCCAAACTGTCTTCCAAAGTGGCTGTACCATTTTGCATTCTCACCAGCAATGAATGAGAGTTCCTGTTGCTCCACATCCTGGCCAGCATTTGGTGTTATCAGTGTTCTGGATTTTGGCCATTCTAATTGGTATGTAGTGGAGGGGGCTTTTATTAAGACATTAAAACATATTTTTAAATTATATAGAGAATGTGGTACTGGCAAAATGATAAAGAGATCACTGAATCAAAATAGAATCACAAATAAATCCAAACATGTATCATCTATGATAAGGGTAGCATTTAAATCAGTAGAGAAAATACATTCCATAGTCATCTATTCTAAGGCTCACCTTTTTTTCTCATTTCAACATACCTGAAATCAGGTTATGTCTTAAATAGTTTCTTTCTTTCTTAGTGGCATATAAAATAATGGTGCATTTTATGTCTTATGAAATATTATTCGCATGTGTTTTAGGTACACCAGGGTAGCCCTCTCTGGGGGGGAAATGAAGTAGGCTTCTTAACTCATTTCTTATACTAAAATAAAATTATAATTACTAATCTTATTCTATTGTCTTTTACCAAATAATTTTATACCAAAATAAAATAATAATTGATTAAACATTTAAATGTAACAAATGAAAGCATTAAAATTAAAAAAGAGACATTTATATAAATATGTATAGGTAAGAAAGATCTTACCCTAGAGCTAGAAAAGTTGACATTTTGACTGTTTTGTGTGGGTAAAACACATAAGCAAAGTTTTTTGTTTGGTTGGTTTTTTAACAAATCAGAGCTAGAATGTAAGGATGAGGAGTGCCTCAGTGTGGGTATGGGTGCAGGGGTGTGGTAGGGGGAATTTGACTTTCTCAGGCTTGGGAAATGAGACTTGATTAGGGAAGTCTTTAGTCCTTTTAATTAGATTGAACTGTGTTCCTGGCCAAAAGCACCATTTAGGTGAGTCTGGCTTGGGGACCTGAGGGCTGCAGAGGAGGGATCTGCTCAGGGCAGATCATAGCAGCCCTGTCTTGGGTTCAGAGCAACAACAGCACTGAGATGGGGCAAGGTCTTGCTTGAATCACTGGCTGAGACAGGAACCTGGGTTGCTTGGGTGAAGGAGAGGCAATATGAGTCTGTGTTTCTTTGGATCAACTAGCCAGGATCCATCTTACTGCAGCTAAAGCCTGGGGTTTCTGGAGCTGAGATAGGAGGGGGATTTATTCCATACTCCCACTCACTAGAGTTATATCCTAAGACCAAGGGAAGTAGAGGTAGTTTTGCCTGGAGAGTCTGAAAGCTGTAAAGTCAGTGTTGTTTCTAGAGCATTTCTTTGCTTCCCCAGGCCTGCCTTCTCAGAAACACTATCCTTTTCCAGGAGAACAGCCCCAAGGAGGAGTGATCATCTCCTGTAATACTGAAAGCCATGGCCCAGGTGAGTTAGCTGATGCCCTTTCTTACCTTCCTGACATTCAGTTCTTTCTAAGAAAAAAAAAAAAATTTTTTTTTAAAGGGCATGTGAGCATTTGCTTTCTTTCTCCTGACATTTCTGGCTATGAGGGTTCCTTCAGGCCCTGGTCCCTATTTCCTCTCATTCTAGTCAGATAATCCTATTATCATTCCTAAGTGCTCCTCTTCTTTTGACTCAGTTTTAATATTTTCATTCAGTAAATAATTGAGCATCTCTTTTCTCAGCCCTCTCCCAGGGACTATGATGGAGAAGAAATGCATTTTCTTAAAGGAAACAAGAGTAGATTTGTAGAATAAACTTGTCCTGTCTGGGCAGTGATTTGACAAGGTGGAGGTATGAGTTGCTTAGCTGAGACAAACATGGCAAAGCCAAGATTATCTCTACAGATCAGTATTCTCCAGTAAAATAGGACGGGAGGTGGTATTGGTAGCTCCAAATGTTAGAGTGTTGCAAGGTCTCCTGGTTTATGGGGCTTGGAGGATTGTTGGGTTGGTAGCTGATACAGGCAGATCTCTATGACTCTTTTAGGGTATCCATGAAGAAGGCCAATTTAAGTTTGAACAGGAAGTGTGAGTCATGAGGAATTTCCAAATGAATCACCAATTTTCTTTATCTCAGAAATAAGGATAAGGATGATGGATGATTATAGTGAGTTCAGCCACTTCATAACTTGTTGAGATCAGAGGTCTCAGAAGAACCTTCTTTAGAAAGCTTTGTTATAATAAATTCCAGACACAGAAAAGTAGTCTTGTGAACTACCATATGCTCACCATTAAGTTTCAATTATTATCAACTCACAGTCAATCTTGTTTCATCCATACCTCTACTTGTTTCTTCCATGCACACTCCCTTAACCTCACTTCCACACACAGGATTTTTTTGAAGCAAATTCAAATTGGTACGTATCTCTCAAGGATAAGGTTTATTTTTTAAAAAAAACAATCATTATGCCATTATTGCATCTGAAAAAGTTAAAAATCATTTGTTAATATCAATATCCAGTGTTCAAATTTTCATAACTGTCTACTTTTTTAATCATTTATTTGAATTAGAATCCAGAGAAGGACTGTGCACTGCAATTGGTTGATATGTCTCTCCAGTCTCTTACTTTGTAGGTACCCCTTCCATCTCTTTTCTTTCTGTGCAGTTTTTGTTGTTGTTGTTGGGAAAGAAAAACAGATTCATTTGCCCACTGTTTGGATTTTGCTGATTTCTTCTCTCTGGTATCATTTAAGTGTTTCCTGAGAGTCAGTAGTTAGGTCTAGAAACGTGGTCAGATTCAGTTGGGATTTTTTTGTCAGGAATATTTCCTAGGTGGTGATGTGTGATTCCATTAGGAGGCATATTATTTCTGGTTCTCTTTCCTTTTGTAATGTTAGCCACCAGTGATGATTATTGTCTAGATTTATTAATTCATTAGAGGTTGCAAAATGATATCTAAATTCTGTCATTCCTTCTCCATAGATTAGGTAGTGTACTATCTGTAAAGTAAAATAAATGTCTCATCAACTGTTTGGTTACCCTAAAGGACAGTTTGTATGGGAAAGAATGTTTGATTCTTACCCCTTATTTACCAGTTTTTAAAATAATGAGTTGGTTTCTTAGAATCCTACAAAGATGGCTAGTAATTTTTTGTTCAATATTGTTATGAGCTCACGGATTTAAACACTTTTGATCTCATCAGTCCATTACATTTGATCCTCAAATTATGCTGTCTTTGGCCAATGGGAGGCTTTTCAAGTAGGCTCCTGAGTCCTTTTAACATGATTCTAGTAGTTTTTGATAGCTCTCTTGTTTTCTGATACAACAGAATGTTCAGACTCATCCTGTGCATTTGACTCAATTCTGAAATTGTCTCCTTCCCAACTTTGGTTACTTTTATTTGAATACGATACTTAGAGACTACAATCTAGACACTAGGGATGCTCATCATTACTGGGTTAATTATTGTTTCTAGGCCTTTTCTATGGACTGAGTGAGGAATTTTTTTTAAATACAAAATAAACTGACAACTCTTGCACCTATTTTTAGGATCTAAAGATTCTGGTTCTTAGTGACACCAATATAATTGCTCTTTGCTTTACTCCCAAGTATAAGCACAGTAGTCTCTGAAATATTTCTTTTTGTTACACAAATAATACACGTGTCTGTTGTTTCAGGGATCAGTGATGTTCAGTGATGTGTCTGTAGACTTCTCTCAAGAGGAGTGGGAATTCCTGGACCCTGCTCAGAGGGACTTGTACAGAGATGTGATGTTGGAGAACTATAGCAATCTGGTGTCAGTGGGTAAGGGCATCTATCCCAGTAATTTTGAGTTCTCTGGAATGTCTGTTTCTTCCACAGTGAATTTCTCAGCTGCTTTTCAAGCTACCAGCTGAATTTCTGCTCCCTGTTCCCAAGTAAATGGTTTGAGCTGAAATGAAAAGGAAGAGTGGGAAATGGGCAGCTCCAATTGGCTGTGGCTGAGCTTCATCTTCTTTGTTTGACTGTTCCTGTAGTGGCATCTCTTCCTTGATCATCAAGGGACTGGATCTTACTTCTGGATCAGATTTACCCACAGCATAACCATGTTCCATATCTTTTCTTGTGAGCAGGACTTTACATTCCTAAGCCTCAAGTTATCTCCTTATTGGAACAGGGGAAAGAGCCCTGGATGATTGGCAGAGAGCTGACAAGAGGCCTGTGTTCAGGTGAGTGAGAAATGATTGGACAGAAGCAGGGCATTACAGGCAATAACTCAGTTGACCAGTGAAGAAACAGCACCTTTGAGATGTTATCTTGGAAGCTCCCATCAAAACCGTAGGCCTGTGGGAAAAACTAAGTCTTTTTAGCACGAGTTTACAAATGACCTGTTTCATTCCTTCCCTCACTTACTGCTCTTTCTACTACTCTTCTCTACTGCCCCTCTTAATTTCAAGTAGAAGGTGCCCTTCACATCCCCCACAAAGAAAACTCTTTCACCCATATTTTAGATTTAGTTCCTTGCTAGCTTTTCTTCCTCTTCGACTCATCTACATGTTTTCTGTTACAACTCCCAAAATAGTATATGTGTGTGCACGCGCGCATGGGCACACGTCTGCATGTATCTGCACTGCCCCTCCCTTCCAAGTACTAGTCTTCCTTATAGCTGCTGGCCAATGATCTGGATTCCTTTGGATAGAATTGAGGGAGTTCATGAACTTGGATGAAAAGAAAAAAATGCATCTATATATTTAGTATCCTCTAATTAAAATTTAGCATTTCTTCCTGTTATGGTATATGCAACAAACCGTAGTAGTGTTAGTAGTTCCTGTGACTTTGACATGAATGGAAATCACAGATATTTTCGTATCATTTTATTGTTGCTGTAGACATATTGAAATACCCTTTATGCTCATCACTATTTCAGAATTACTATAGTATTAGGCTCACTGCTAGGTCTTATTCTTTAATGTGTTTATAAAGAAGAAAACTCCAGGCAGAGGGAAGAACCGCTGTGAAGGCCCTTCTAGGAGGGGAAAACTTGGTGTGTTTGAAGAACTGAAAGAAAGCTAGCGTTGTTGGGGCCCAAGAGCAAGCATGAGTGGAGTGTGAGTCGAGATTGGAGAGACAAGTAGGAACCACATTATTCAGCCTTTGCCGGTGGTTATGAGGAGTTTGGATTTGGAGCAGTGGAAGGCCAGGCCAAATGTCATTTTCGTGCCTGAAGAGGTTAAAGACTGTGAGAACTTGGTGGGGATCTGGGTTAGGAGGCTACTTGAGTGGTCTGAGTAACAGATGATTCTGGTTTGGAATAGGGTATTGGCAGTGGAGATAGAAAAGCTACTGAAGAGCTTAACTAGATGAAAGTTGCTGAAAGATCCTATGGAGGTAGGAGGACAAAGAACATGCTGAAATGGAATTCCGTGTTTCTGGCTTGAGATGTCCTAATAGGCTCCATTTTGACATCTTCACACTGTTTAATTTGCCTAAAATCTCCATTTTGGGTAAGAAATTCCTTTATAATAATAGTTATCAAATACTGAACACTTTACTCAAAGACATTCACTTACACTTTTCCTCACGCTCTTAGTAATCATGGATTAAGGATTTTCTCCCTTTTACAGGTGAAATGGGGACTAGAAAGGTTAAATAATTGCCTAGGAACCTATAGTAAGTAACTCTCAGTGATGGGACTCAGCTCTCATCAATCTGCTTCTGACTCCTGTCATCTTTCCATGGTAGTATCTTGCACTGTGTCTTATTATTATTATTTTTTACAGTCCTTGTATGAAACTCCTGAGAATTATTTTTCCCTTATATTGTTCTTTTTTTAAATTGAAGTGTAGTTGATTTACAATGTTGTGTTAGTTTCTGGTATACAGCAAAGTGATTCAGTTATACATATATATATTTTTTCAGATTCTTTTTCATTATAGTTTATTGTAAGATATTGAATATAGTTCCCTGTGCTATACAGTAGGACCTAGTTATTTATTTTATGTATAGTAGTTTGTATCTGCTAATCCCAAACTTCTCATTTATTCCCTCCCCCCATATTTCCTCTTTGGTAACCATAAATTTGTTTTCTAGGTCTGTGAGTCTGTTTCTGTTTTGTAAATAAGTTCATTTGTATCATTTTTTTAGATTCCACGTATAAGTGATATCATACAGTATTTGTCTAACTTACTTCACTTAGTATGATAATCTCTAGGTCCATCCATGTTGCTGCAAATGGCATTGTTTCATTCTTTTTTGTGAGTAATATTCCATTGTGTGTGTATGTATGTATGTGTGTGTGTATATATATATATACCACATCTTCTTTATCCATTCATCTGTCAATGGACATTTAGCTTGCTTCTATGTCTTGGCTATTGTAAATAGTGCTGTTATGAACATTGGGGGGCATGTATCTTTTCAAATTATAGTTTTCATCTTTTCTGGATATATGCCTGGAGTGGGATTGCTGGATCATATGGTAACTCTATTTTTAGTTTTTTAAGGAACCACCATACTATTCTCCATAGTGGCTGCACCAATTTACATTCCCATCAATAGTGTATAAGGGTTCCCTTTCTCCACACCCTCTCTAGTATTTATTATTTGTAGACTTTTGGATGATGGCCATTCTGACATTTGTGAGGTAATATCTTATTGTAGTTTTGATTTGCATTTCCCTGATGATTAGCAATGTTGAGCATCTTTTCATGTGCCTGTTGGCCATCTGAATGTCTTCTTTGTTTTTTTTTTTGGCTGTGTTGGGTCTTCATTGCTGTGTGTGGGCTTTCTCTCTAGTTATGGCGAGTGGGGGCTACTCTTCATTGAGGTGCACAGGCTTCTCATTGCAGTGGCTTCTCTTGTTGCAGAGCAAGAGCTCTAGGTGCACAGCTTCAGTAGTTGTAGTATGTGGGCTCAGTTTGTTGCAGCACATGGGCCCTAGGGCATGTGGGCTTCAGTAGTCGCAGCTAATGGGCTCAGTAGTTGTGGCATGCAGACTCTAGGGTGTGTGGGCTTCAGTAGTTGTGGCACACAGGCTTAGTAGTTGTGGCTTGCAAGCTCTAGAGCACAGGCTCAGTAGTTGTGGAGCACAGGCTTAATTGCTTCACGGCATGTGGGATCTTCCTGGACCAGGAATCGAACCTGTGTCCCCTGCATTGGCAGGCGGATTCTTAACCACTGTGCCACCAGGGAAGTCCCCTGAATGTCTTCTTTGGAGAAATGTCTATTTAGATCTTCTGCCCATCTTTTGATTGGGTTGATTTTAAAAATATATATATTTATCTATTTATTTGGTTGCACAGGGTCTTAGTTGCAGCATGTGGGATCTTCATTGCTGCATGAGAACTCTTAGTTGCAGCATGTGGGATCTAGTTCCCTGATCAGGGATCGAACTCGGGCCCCCTGCATTGGGAGCACAGAGTCTTAGCCACTGGACAACCAGGGAAGTAAGTCCCAATTGGGTTGTTTTTTTGATATTGAGCTGTATGAGCTATTTGTATATTTTGGAAATTAAGCCCTTGTTGGTGGCATTGTTTGCAAATATTTTCACCCATTCCATATGTTGTCTTTTCATTTTGTTTATTGTTTCCTTTGCTGTTGCACTGTGTCTTTTTTCTCTCTGTCTGCCTTAAACTTCAGCAGTCTCCCCTCTCAGTCACTGCAGTGGTACATGAGCAAGTCTCTCCCTTGTCCCCAGATCAGCATCACAGAATTCCAAGGCAAACAGTATTTTCAATGAATCCCCAGCACATAGCATGCTCTGAGGCTTCCCTATCTGCCACTCACATCAAATCAGTTCATTGACTTATCTTAGGCTGTTCCCCCATCTGGCTGACCCTCTGTAATCGCTTTTAAATTGCATCTAGTATGCCCTTTATTATGGACCCTATTCTGTTTTATCCCCAACTGGGTGTACTGCAGTTTAATTCTGACACTAACTACCCAGAGTTAGCTTAGACCCCACAGGTTAACAGCCAGTCTTACACAAGACTGCCCTCACTTCTGACACCAGCTGGAAGCCTCAGGGGTTCCTCAGACCACCCACACTTCTGACCAACTGGCTATAAATTCGGGATTTCCATGGCCCCTGCAGGCTTTGCTAGAATGACTCACAGAACTTAGGAAAGCTCTATACTTACAATTGCAGTTTTACTGTAAAGGATACATATCAGATGAGTTAGGGTAGGCTTCTGGAGGCAGAGGTTCCATAACCTCTCCCTGTGAAGTCAAAGTGTGTCACCCTCCTGGTGAAGCACCTCAGTGTGTTCACCAACCAGAAATCTCCATTGAGCTTCGGTGTCCAGAGTTTTTATTAGGGCTTAATTACATTGGCATGATTGATTAAGGCATTGGCCACTCAATCTCTAGCCTCTCTCTCCACCCCAGAGGTCAAGCAGCTGAAAGTCCCAATCCTCTAATCATATGCTGGGTCTTTCTAGTGACCATTCCCCATCCTAAAACTATCTAGGGATCCACCATGTGTCACCTCATTAGCGTGATGAAAACACTGCTATTACTCAGGAAATTCAAAGTGTTTTTCAAGCTCTGTGTTAGGAAGTGGGGACAAAGATCAAATTTATACTTTATTATACTACAAGCCCAAGAATCTCCCCCATTTGCATTTATTCCTCTCAGTAGACCTTTAATGGAGGTAACAAATTGTCCACTTTTTGTAATATATATAGTATGATGATGTACTCTGTTTCTTACATACACATACATACAAGCTTATAGAGATGTATATATAACTAGTCATCTTTTAATATGCCCAAGCATTGTATATTTATCAACTTTTCCAGATGATTCTGATCCACATCAGTATTTGAGAATCATTGTGGTTTCCTATTTCCATAGTCTCCTCCTGCTGCTTCCTGCATTATATCTCCTTAATTTTGTGCATTTCTTGTCCATTTTTCAGATTAAACAGATATACTTGAGAACTCTATGTCATTCACTACCAGATATTATTTTCACTTTAATTTTTCCATTTCTATTATAAAAGTTTAACTTTTCACAAATGAGGTGGGGGAAGAATATTTACCATTTTATTTTCTTTCAGATCTGGAATCAATGTGTGAAACCAAGTTATTATCGCTAAAGAAGGAAGTCTATGAAATAGAATCATGCCAGAGGGAGATGATGGGACTTACAAAGCATGGCCTTGAATACTCCAGTTTTAGAGATGTTTTGGAATATAGAAACCACTTTGAAAGACAAGTGGGATATCAAAATGGGCATTTCAGCCAAGAAATATTCACTCATGAATACATGCCCACATCTATTCAACAGACATTCTTTACTCTACATCAAATAATTAACAGTGAAGAGAAACCATATGAATGTAAGAAATGTGGAAAGATCTTTAGTCAGAATTCACAATTTCTTCAACATCAGAGAATTCATATTGGCGAAAAATCTTATGAATGTAGGGAGTGTGGGAAATTCTTTAGTTGTGGCTCACATGTTACTCGACATCTGAAAATTCATACCGGTGAAAAACCCTTTGAATGTAAAGAATGTGGAAAGGCCTTCAGCTGTAGCTCATACCTTTCGCAACATCAGAGAATTCATACCGGTAAGAAACCCTATGAATGTAAGGAATGCGGGAAGGCCTTTAGTTATTGCTCAAATCTTATTGACCATCAGAGAATTCACACTGGTGAAAAACCGTATGAATGTAAAGTATGTGGGAAAGCCTTTACTAAGAGCTCACAACTTTTTCAGCATGTGAGAATTCATACAGGTGAGAAACCCTATGAATGTAAGGAATGTGGCAAAGCTTTTACTCAGAGCTCAAAGCTTGTACAGCATCAGAGAATTCATACAGGTGAGAAACCCTATGAGTGCAAAGAATGTGGCAAAGCCTTTAGTAGTGGCTCAGCACTTACTAATCATCAGAGAATTCACACTGGGGAGAAACCCTATGATTGTAAGGAATGTGGGAAGGCTTTTACTCAGAGCTCACAACTTCGTCAGCATCAGAGAATTCATGCTGGTGAGAAACCTTTTGAATGTCTTGAATGTGGGAAGGCCTTTACTCAGAACTCACAGCTTTTTCAACACCAGAGAATTCATACAGATGAAAAACCATATGAATGTAATGAATGTGGAAAGGCCTTTAATAAATGCTCAAACCTTACTCGACACCTCAGAATTCATACTGGTGAAAAGCCCTATAACTGTAAGGAATGTGGAAAGGCATTTAGTAGTGGCTCAGATCTCATTCGTCATCAGGGAATTCATACTGATGAATAATAAAAACGCAAGCTCTTGTCACCTTCCTGATATTTTAAACAACAACAAAAATTCATGTGTGATAGTTACCCTCTTTCACTATTTTTTGTTTCTTAATTTTATTTTATATTTCTTTTTAATCCAAATATATTTTACTCTAAGTTATGAATTTGGATTCTAAATTGACATTTGCCTGTCTCTTCCCCTTACTTCCCCCACCCCATCTTGTACTAATGGCAGTTCAACAATTTTTTCCTTTCCTATTATTTTGTTCTACCTTCTTGGAGATAGGTTATATTCCTGTTTATATTTGCTTGAGTCTCAAGGCTATGCTTTCTTCTCTGATATATATATTTGTGCTTATACCAGCATCACACTGTTTAAATTGTGTGACCTTGTATTTTGTAATTCCTTGTAGAATTAATTACAATATAACCTTTTTTTGAAGTCACTGTTAGTTTTTTTGTTTCATTTCACAAATTTATATTTTTTATTATAAAACAGAATATCAGAAAACTGGAAATTAAAAAAGCCAAGATTAATTGTAATTATACGAACTATAGATGATGACTCTCAAGTTGGTAGAGCAAATCCTACCAGACTTTGTTTTTAAAGAAAATGTAGTCATGGTACACATGTTGCACCTTCACCTGGTACACATGTGTTGGCTTTTACAATACTACAAAATATGATTGCCATTTCAGTAAATATAGATTTTTATCTTTATCGATGTACTTAATGACTTTTTAAAATGACCTTATTTATTATTCATGTTATGGTTGCATCTAATTGTTTTCAGTTATAAAATCTTCTCTGACTAATATGACCCAATATTTATCTTTGGATGCTTGTTTTTTTCCTTTTAAAACATCTATTTTAGTTGCTGAAATTATCCATATTTTCTCCTTTATAAACTGTTTTGTTCCTTTTCATCAACCCTAACCCTAAGCTCATACTAGAAATGTAATTAACTACTGTTAACCGGTATTATTTATGCTTCCAGGTTTTTTAAACTTTTTACTTATATATGTTAGTGACATTTTATTTTTTATGTATTAGTAAATATAATCATGTTCTATGTATTGGTTTGTTGTGAGGATTCAATGAGTTAATAAAGTGTTTAGAACTTTTCCTATCATGTAGTAAATGTTTAGTAAAAATTGTCCACTATTATCATTGATACACCCATTTTCATAATTATCGTCATTATTATTTGTGGAAAGGATTTTAACCATGTTGTTTACTTTTGTCTAAATCTAAGAATTAATAATGAAAAAAGAGAAATAAGTGTAATGAACATAGGAAAGCTTTCCCCATCACTCATTATTCTGCATGAAATTTCAAAAGGGGAAAAAAGAAGTTTGCGAGGGTAGTCTACATTCAGACTTTATTTTCTATGCTGCACAAAGGCTAATACCCTGTGGATACAATGATGGGTAGTTGAAAGCACAGTCAAATAAGCAGGAAGAGATAAGAATATTTTTCCTAATAATTAGTTTCCAAAAAAGAAAATATACAGGGCACATTATTTGACCAGAATGGGGAAGACAGTAACAAAAGGATGGCCAGCAAATATCTGAATATTAATTTAGTGTCCCCTCTTGATTAACATGGGTTAAGGAACTAAAACCTTAATATACACATTATTTAAACATGAATGAATATGAGAACACAATTGAAAAACCTGTGGGACTTCCCTGGTGGTCCAGTGGGTAAGACTCCGTGCTCCCAATGCAGGGGCCCAGGGTTCAATTCCTGGTCAGGGAACTAGATCCCACATGCATGCTGCAACTAAGAGTCCACATGCCACAACTAAGAGTCTGTGTGCCACAACTAAAGATCTCACATGCCACAATGAAGATCCTGTGTGGCACAGCTAAGACCTGGCCCAGCCAAAATAAATAAATAAATATTTAAAAAAAAACCTGTGAGTGGCAGCCAAAGTTGTATTGGAAGTTTTATAACCCAGTGTGCATGCATACATTAAAATACTAGACTTTTCTGGGAAGCGGCCTGAGATGACCTCTAAAAATGGTTCACTCTTCACTTGGCCCAGAAAATGCAATAAAATCATGCAAGTCAAGAGATTCAAATCTTTGTGTTCACTTTAAGAACACTCGTGAAACTGCCCAGGCCATTAAGGGTATGCATATCCGAAAAGCCACCAAGTATCTGAAGGATGTCACTTTAAAGAAGCAATGTGTGCTATTCCGTCGTTACAAAGGTGGAGGTGGTAGGTGTGCCCAGGCCCAACACTGGGGCTGAATGCAGGGTCGGTGGCCCCAAAAGAGTGCTGAAGTTTTACTGCACATGCTCAAAAATGCAGAGAGTAATGCTGAACTTAAGGGCTTAGATGTAGATTCTCTGGTCATTGAGCATATCCAGGTGAACAAAGCACCCCCAAGATGTGGCGCAGGACCTACAGAGCTCATGGTCAGATCAACCCATACATGAGCTCTCCCTGCCACATTGAGGTGATCCTTACTGAAAAAGAACAGATTGTTCCTAAACCAGAAGAGGAGGTTGCCCAGGGAAAAAAGATATGCCAGAAGAAACTGAAGAAACAAAAACTTATGGCCTGGGAATAAATGCCGCAAAAAATAAATGCAAATAAAAGTTAAAAAAATAAAAAAATACTAGAAATCATTAATAAATAAAATCAATATAGAACCCAGGGAGATAAAACAAGCAAAAATATATCTAAATTGGGTAGAGAAAGGCATTATTAGTTATAAAATGCAGAAATAAATGACAGAAACAAGTAAACAATCTAAAACAGAAAATTATTTGACTGAAAAAAAGTAGACAAACTAGTGATTCAGGTGGGGGATTATAGATGACGAATGAACAGCACTGTGAATGAGACATTGAAATGACTACATATTTGAATTTAAAAGGACACTATCTGGGTGATTAAAATGTTCTGGGATTAGTGGTGTTGTACAACTTTGTGAATATAATAAAAACCACTGAACAGTATACTTTAAAAGGGGGGTGAATATTACGGTATATGAATTTTATCTCAAAAAACTTAAAAGTTAGTACTATAGACATTTTTATAATATATCTGAAAATCTGGACAAAGTGTCTGATTTTTATAAAGAAATTGGATTGACTTGATATCAGAATTGACTAAAGAAGAAGTGTAAAATCTTAATAGACTCCTTTCCAAAAGGAACATTTTAAAATTAAACCAAAAAAAAAATGTCACGGGAATTCCCTGGTGGTCCACTGATTAGGACTCTGCGCTTCCACTGCTGGGGGCCAGGGTTCAATCCCTGGTTGGGGAACTAAGATCCCACAAGCCTCAAGGCACAGCCAAAAATAAAAATAAAGTAAATTAAAAAAACAATGTCACACAGCTACACTAGAGACACCAAATTAGATATATTTATAGATGAAACTATGAAATGTTTTAGGAGCTCTTCCAGGACATAGACTGAGGTAGCAAGTTACCTGTTTTTATGAATCTGTCGTAATCCTAAAGATAAAACTTACTAGGAGAATACAAAAAGATAATATGCCCAAAATCAGTTATGAAAATATGCAATATTAAAAATTAGCAAATCAAATCTAGTAATCTATTGAAAGGAGATAGATGTTTGTCACAATCTGAATTTTGGAACAAAACATTTCTAATAAATCCTTATTCAAACGTGCTACTCACTTTCTGAAACTTGGAAATCAAATTGATTTAGTTAGCATAGTATTCCTTAGTATTTTAACTTGGAAACCAAATAGATTTGGATTGCAAGGCGTTCTTGAAATACAACACAAGATAATTCACATGGAATTTCTAGAGTTTAAATAACTAAAGCACTGTAAATGAAAATATATTATCAAGCCTCAATATATTCTAGCTGCACCCTTCTTTTCTTATCAGTATTTGACAGAACGGGATATATTTTACAAATAAACTTGAGTTATCCTACCTGCTGCAATATCATTCATTTATACCCTGCATTCATTCATTCATTTATTTATACCCTGTCTACTTGTTACTTGAAGAGTCTTTAAAACAGCTAATGAATCCAATCATTGCCATGCATTTAGTATGAGGATGTAGTGGGAGATGGGAAGGTGGTTGTTAAAACAATCACAGAATTTCAACTCTCATGGCAATTTGAATATAGAATATGAAAGGTGTTCATCCCCATGATAGCAAGAAAATCTGGACAAGGTAAAAATCATACTTTCCTATGGGACTATCTAGGAGTGGGAGTAGGGAGTTCCCTGGCAGTCCAGTGGTTAGTACTCCACGCTTCCACTGCAGGGGGCACAGGTCTGATCCCTGGTCAGGGAACTGAATTCCTGATAAAAATAAGCCCTTGATAGGTAAACAGATTGCTGCATGACTTTGCATTCTTGGATGCGGTGCATGGTGTGGATATGGATATGGATGGATGAAGGTGTAGGCCTGACAGATGAAGAGACATTGCAGAGATAAAAAGAAATTAGTAGAGCCTAAAGATACTTAGGACTTTTTGGTTGGGTAAGAATCTGGAAAAAACCCAAATGCAAAAGATTTAAAAAATATTATCAACCAACTTTACCTAATTGACATTTATTTAATGGTGCTCTCAATCAGCACAGTACACTTGCTTTTCAACGACATAGAAAACACTAAGTTAGACTACATGTTGGGCTATAAAATAAGATTCAGGTATTGTCAAAGAATAACATACAGATTATATTTAACACCGAGCTAAGTAGAGTTCAATGGTTTTAACTTCAGGTGTATGATTCACCTAGAATTAATACTTGTGTGTGGTATGAAGCATAGATTAAGGTTCATTTTTTTCCTCACATAAATAGTCAGTTGTTAAACTTCTTGTTAAACTTCTTGTTAAAAAAGACTTTCATCTCTTCCATTGAGTTGCTTTGGTATTTTTATCAAAAATCAGTTGACCATATATGTACACCTTTATATGAACAATGTACAATTGTAAAATGAAACAAAAATCAGTTTATAATAGTATCAAAAAGTATAAAATACTTAGGAATAAGTTTGATAAAAGATCTGAAAG